ATTATAACAGTATCGCTCGGTGACAGCGACCACTCAGATACAGACTCGGATCAGTCGCTCGACCTATCCGCATATTGTATAAGGGTGAGCGGCATGTACTGATAAACAAATCCGAAACCACACGACCGTTATTATTGAAATTTTTAAGTTTAAAAATAAGTAAATAGCAATAATGTGATTAAAATTACATACATCCATATGAGGTAATACCATCTTTTTGTAAATTTGACGTAACAGATCTCTCTTTGCAGCAAAAAACAGAATAAGTCGGTATATTAGTAGAACGTCGATTCAGCCGCGCAACTAGGTTTATTGTACGCGTGGACTAATACTTTGGCAGAGAGGACCCTCCGGTCCGCCGTTGGGCCGTGTTGTTCTATGTTATAAGATAAATAAAATTTTAAGAATCGACGTAGAATAATTACGAATTAAAAACAGTGTCTTTATTGTACATTAATTAAAGATGATTAAAATAAATTACAGTACTTAAAAGCATCACATGAATTCTTCTTGCTCATAAAACTTCATGCATTACTAATATTATCATCTATCACGACTATTCATCTGAAAAACTCGCAATCAGCAACATTTTTAGGAGAGCGGTGAGCGGTGGTGCGTCCTCGCGGCTAGCAAGCAAGGAGTTCATATTTGCGCTTGTGACATAAGATTATTTGAAACAAAGAATTAAGACCATTTAGTACTCAGGTCTGTAGCTTTAATCTTCCGAAATGCTTTAGGTTTCGTGGCGAGTTTTCATTCGTTTGTAAATCGAGAACCCCGAGGAATTATTTGGAGTATATATTGGATAGTATCCATAATGATATTTGTAGATGTTTCTTAAAAGGGCCTTTTGAAACTTTTCCAAAAGGAAAAGTGAGAAAGAGAGTGAAAAGAGAGGAAAGTGTCATAGTCATATTTTTAGCTTCCAAACATAGGAATTGGTTTCATCTTTCACGTGCCCGTGTACTGAAGTTTGGTCTTAGGGTATTCCGTTATCGTTACAAAATTTTGCATTTTTGAGGACAAACCCTAAACGATTCCTCAGCTAATGTTATAATGTGAACTGTGGTTGCCAACCGGCCTGCTAAACGTGGTAACTCTGGCAAATATCGCCCTTAAGAGGCATTCTATGGCGAGAACTACGTTCAGCTGTGGACTTTGATAGGCTGTAATTAATGAATGAATATGTAATACATCTTATTCGTATACATAAACAGTTCACGTTCCTCAGCATAACATAGTCATTTTAGATGAATATCAGTATCATTTTACATCACTCTTCACTTGGGTTCTATCTCTTTTAATAACACTTATTTGATAATATGAGGAATTGCTATTAAATAACCACTTAGTTGTTATTGCAAGGCCGGTATGCATAATAATTATGTCACGGATTTTTACATGTTAAGCATGTTTTATACGTGGTAGAGCCATGCTGCAGTTATATTAATAGTATAGTTGTAGCACGAATGGGTCTGCTCGACCGGGGAGGGACCGCGCTCGCACAGAATACCAGCGTAAAACAGCAGCTTAATGCTGCTGTGTTTCGTATGGTAGAGAACCGGAGACCGTTTTTACTGGAAAAGAGGCATTCTATTTTAGTCCTCATGGCTGACAACGCATCTGCATTTTAATTGCATTTTAATGCAAACGAAGATAGATGTAGATGTCTATAGGCCACAGCAACCACTTACCATCAGGTGAACTTTGTGTTCGCTTGTCACCCTTATTCTATAAAAAAAGAAGGTCGCCACAGGTCACCGCAATGCATCGTGTGAAAACTGAGGTGAACGCGGATTATTTGATAGTAAGTGATCGCCGCCCATGCACATGAATCTCTTATGTAGTAAAGCTATGCTGCAGCTATATTATGGTTGTACCACGAATGGGTCGGCTCGAATGGGCAAATGCCACACATCTGCATTTTGATTCTTAATCGAGGATATCCAGCATCCTCTAACCATCAGGTGGTTATGATTAGGTGGAATTTGTGCTCCTTTGTTACCCATATTTTATGAAAAAAGAACATCGGTGCAGGGGAATCACAGGTTTGAGGACGGCCATTGAAGAATAAGTTAGCTCATTTATTGAAGGTTCCAAAATCATATCAGCTTGAACAAATCTCGTAAAGCATTGGTAATAGCAGATTCCAAAAAGTCGTGCGAGATAGGATACTTCTATAAAATATCACAATATTGGACCGGCCACAATCCATATTGTTGAATTTTATAATTAATATAATTAAAAAATTATATAATTAATATAATTATGATGTTATTTTTATGTAAATTACAAGCTTGTAGTTGTAACGAATGGTCTTGCACACACACTTGAAGGATTCCAGCTTCGCGTACAAGTCGGTGTCCAATATTAGTACCACAGACAACATACATATCTTTAGATGGTGTGGATTGAATCGCTAATTTTATCGCAACGTGCGAAGGTGAAACTTGGCAGCTTCGGACAACTCCTAGCACTAGTGCTTTTAGGTAAATTATTTTAGTTCTAACTTGACAAAAATGCATGTTAATTAACTCTTTACGTTTTCAGTTTTCTTTAATATGAAACATTTATAAAAAATCGGAACTTGTGTAACGGTTGCAACAGAGCTACGGAGCAAAGGAATGATTTGTAAAAAAACAAACTAACGCATTAAACATCAATCTGTCTTTATTAAACTTTACATAACTAATATTTTGTACTACAGGAAAAGATAAAATTTAATTTCTTCTATGTACAAAAATCTGTTTGTTTGGGGGCATTAAATGCAAGGATATCATAGTTTAAGATAGTTATAAAGTAATGTCGGATGAAGAGAAATCGGAAAAAACAAGAACTATATAAAGTCTAGGCACTGCACATCATTCCACATTGACATATCACATTCTTGACTTCTAATTAATATACATTATCTTTATTCCATTATGCTAGTAAGCGTCTCCGTTCGTATATAATTATTTTTATCCGAGAGTAGAACTCTCGCGATTAAATATTAGATAACATTTTAGTTTAGATTACAATTTTTTGATAATCAATAATAATGATTCAAAGGATAATTCTCTCGAGTATGTACCACATCGTTAACCAAATAATAATGTGGCAATCAAATCAAATTAATTGGGTTTCATTTTTTGATTTTAAAGTAGCTTCGTTTATGCATTTCAAAGACGGTATGAACATAGCGCACACAAATAATTCTATTACATTTTTATCTTGTAGTTTTTCGTTAGTTCGTAAAAGTTTAGGTACTGTTAAAAATGGACCTCCCCTGTTATAGGGAAGAGTTACCTCGACGGTCACACTTGGCAGGCGAATTGACTCGCAGTGCCAGAATACATCATCTTTGATACTCTTTGGCGCTCCCAGTTGCCAATCTGGGTATTTTGCACCTGGCTTAAACGCAATAGTTATACCGCCATCTGTCGGATGCCGTAAGATCTTTTTTCTTTTTTCTGGCACATCCCTTAGTTTGCTTTGTGGTGGCGGCTTATGAGAATCCATCACCCAATTTCGCCTCTCGAGAGTTTTTCCTTTTATCTAATTATACCTAATATTAATTATTGCAATTGATATTCTCTCACAGATATAAGCACATCGACCGCAGCCCAGTAGGTATGTCTTTTTGTATGCCTTAAATAAATTTAAATGTACTTAAAAATTATAATATTACATTTAACAACAAACTAATATATAGTTAATAATATATTTATAACAGAATAGTTCTTTTTATAAAAACATACCCATTACATAAAAATATCTTCTAGCTCGTGAATGCAATTTATAAACATAATTTGCACCTAAAACACATACAAACGCGGATCAATTTTATTTGTAATTGAACTCGCTACACGTAGCGCTCCTGCTAAAAATACTTAGCCACTGCACTACTGAGCTGTTTATTATTGCGGACATTCTCAATTACAATTTTGTTAATAATGGAATATTTATTATTGTTCGAATATAAACATCCAACAAATGCTTGCAAGAAAACTGAAATAAATTTATCAAAAAAAAAATCTAGTGTAGGTGTGCTACGCGCCAGACGTCGAATTTTATAGAAATTTTGCTAAATGTACGGACATACATTTAGGTACGAAGTACGATAAATAGTATTATAACGATAAAACATATTTACTCGTAAATGATTTAATGAGAGCGAGTAGCGCGACCTTGTCAACTTTACAGTAAGGCCCAACCTCTCCACTTCGTGTTCGAGGTGAGCAAAACTAGTTACCTATCATCCAACCATATATTAATATTTCCTACTAAAATGTAATAATACTGATATTTTGACAGGAAGTCTATTTTAAATCAATAGTGCCTTTACTATTTTGCTTAAAGCAATCTATAGCTACAATTTCAATACACAAGAAAAAAGAAGTTTTTTTTTTTAATTTTGTAATGATTAAGAATAAAAATCAGTATTGTCTTAGGTGACAAAAGTGGTAGTGGATATAATTTGGCACAAAAAGTTTCATAAAATATATAATATATTTTTTTAAAACGACAGTATAAATTATTTTTAGAAAATTTACAAACATTTTGAGAGTTCCTTTTCTAATACGGAATTAGTTTATAACTATGTACTCGTAAATAGTGGGCAAAGGTAAATTTACATTAAGTATCGTACGTACACAAGCGTTCTTAAATATGTAACCAAACATTCAGTTTGTGTGAAGTTTCCTACTAATATTAAATGTATTTCAACTATACGATTACCTTGACAATATTTAAATAATTAATGTTTCTAAATTTTGTAATAGCGTTAATTTTGAATGTTTACCTATTTAAACGTAGTTACTATGAAGAACACAGACTTGTAAATAAAAAAATAACAACTTGTGATTGATATGTACACCTTAAATATTATAAAAAATAAATAAGTGTAATGTTTAAAAAAATAAACGAGTCTATGGTTACATCAACCACATTTTAACAATTAAAATTTAAAATACTGTACTGTCGCACATAATATTAGTAAGAATAATGAGCAGATGAACTTAACCATTTATATTCGCTTTAAGACTGTAGGTACTAGGTTGTGATCCCTTTTTTGGTAACAATCTCTCCGATGCTTCACAAATATCACTGGCAGAATATCTGTTCCTTTTTAAAATAGGAGTTTTAAAAACTTTATCCTGAGTTTGTTTCGCATCTTGTTGTACATTAAGTTCTTTGGCACTTCCACTTAAACTTCTATTGGGTTCAAATTTATCACTGGCGGTACTGGACGGCGTCTGGCTTCCGTTGTCTGTCTCTATAATTTGCTCAAGCGTACTGGGCCGACGACCTCGAGTATCATAGAACTCAACAGTCGGTGGCATAACAGGAGCAATATTAGCCATCGGGTCTATACCTAAGAGAAGCATGACTGTCGCTGGGTGCTCCATAATGTATTGAGTAACAGAATGAAGAAATGGCTCAGTCTGTGTACTACGATCAATTTTAAGCCTTTCAGGTGTGACTGGTCTTTCCTGCTGTAAAACAAATATAACAGTAAAATAATAAAATTGTGGTAATTACGAACTTAGTTAAAATAAAGTACCTGTTCCCAACAAAAAACATCAGGAGGGTGGCTGCAACTTCGAGCAAGTTGATTAAGCGGTGCGTTCCATTGTAAATTTGGATTGGAATGAGCTGCATGCCATCCAGAAGGGCCTGTCATTTCTTGTAGTGCTTGAATTGCATTACGAACCTAAGAAAACATCATTATCATTTTATAAAATATTTGTATAAAAACAGATTAGAATATATTATCCGAAACACTTTTGTTATTTAAGCTTAGTTTTTAATTTTTCAATTCAAAGTAAAGAATGGTAAATCACCTCCATACTTAATGCAGCCACATCGTGATGTAGACTAGATACTTGAGTGTCAAGTCTATCTACAGACGATCTTGTGTTATGTACTTCTAAATTAAGACCTTCTAGAGAATCAGCTCTTCCAAGTTTAGGAGTTGCAACACTTCGTTGCCTTTCTATTTTTTCACGTAGTTCTCTATGTGTTAAGCGTTGTCCGTCAGACCTAAAAACGAATTTTATTTTAAAAAAAAGACATGCGTGAGTATGACACTGTACACACAAATATTTTATAATTTTATATATTGAATAATATACATAACATGCGTGAGTGTCGTGAAAGACTCGGTTGGAACGAAATTCCTTTCGTAGTAAGTATATTATTATTGATAAACGTATTATATTATTGATTAACAAATACAAATAAATATTTAATTACTGGTGTCTATTAAAATAAAGATTCATTATTTATTTCATGGGAAGATAAGAAAAAGTACGAGGGAGAGGGATATTATTTCATCACACTCGCGCTATAGAAAGGGAGTCGTGACGTAAAAATCTTCACATTTTCTCGACTAGCCCCCATCCGTCGAATTCGTACCGTGCGATAAAGAACTTCGGTCCAAAAAAGTATATGTTGGTATTTTATTTACTTTATTATTTTGGAACACAAAATAATACTTATATGAACAAACCTAAACTTGTGACGTGGACTGTTAGTATTAGTAATTGACGGTTTCTTTGGTGAAAGAGCGTACTCTTCTGCAGCATTTTCGTCATCCTCAGAAATAGATGGAAGAGTCAGCGAGGGATGGCCATTTCCATCAGATTCTTGCTCTGCTTCATAACCTTCTCTTAAGTTATATGTTAAATCATGCTGTATATCGTGAATAAACTCTTGTTGGTACTCAGGATATAAACGCAAAACTTCAGCTAATCCTCCCATATGAATACATTTTAAATCACAATAAGTTAAAGCCTGTAAAATTTTTGGACAATTTAGTTAAAATCCGTATAAATAACAAAGTTAACATCTCAGAAGAACTATGGACATGTAAGTAATACCTTTACATCACTGCTCGACTTCACAACAACGTCGGGGTTATTGGGCTGTGATCCTCCTGTTCCATTGAATGCGTGTAAGTGAGTATTCATATCACATCCCACCAAATCTCCTTTTCCTATATATTAAAATTAATATTTAATTTTACTTTACAGTAATATTAAATTATTGGGACTTTGTCAAAGAAGATTACTTACCTAATATTGCAACTACCATATCATTTTGCATTACTTCCATAGAACCATTACAAATATAGTGAATGTAAGTAAGTGCATCGCCTTTATGAACTAGATACTCTCCGGGAGCACAAAAGTTGTTTCGGATATGTAGAGAAAGCAACTTAAGACAACCCTGAGATGCGGCTTCAAAAATTGGAAGTGATAATATCTCCCTGTGCAAATGTAAAGAGACATCGCCTCTGAGCTCCTCAGGAAATTCTTTCAGTGTCTAAAATAATACATGTTATATAGTTATTGTGTAAGTTATTGTGGAGGTAGGCTAAGATGCAGGATCAAAAACACGTGGATAAACAATACTATCAGACTCGATAACCAACAATTTGTGTTTGAGCAAAATTGACTTTGACTGGATTTCGAAACCAAGATCTTTTTTTTTTATAGGATAGGGTGACAAACGAGCACACAGTCCACCTGATAGTAAGTGGTTGCTGTGGCCCATAGACATCTACATCAAACAAAATGCAGATGCGTTGTCACCCTTGAGGACCAAGATGGAATGCCTCATTCCCAGTAAAAAGTGTCTCCGGTTCTCTACACTCACCATCGAAACACAGCAGCATTAAGCTGCTATTTTACGCTGGTATTCTGTGAGAGCGTGGTCCTTCCCCGGTCGAACCGACCCATTCGTGCTACAACTATACTACTAATATAGCTGTAGCATGGCTCTACCACGTATTATAGCTGCAGCATGACTCTACCACGTATAATATAGCTGCAGCATGGCTCTACCATGTATAATATAACTGCAGCATGGCTCTACCAAGTATAATATAGGTGCAGCATGGCTCTACCACGTATAATATAGCTGCAGCATGGCTCTACTATCTGATATGACTTCTAGCATAGAATATCTAATAGCAAAACCAGCTAGACCACGCGGTTGACAACTATTTTAAGTGTTTAGAGATCAGGATGTTTTATTGAAATCAATCAACAATGTTCTGTTGAGTTTAAACTATTTAAATAAAAAATTAAATATTCTTGCAATAATTAGGTATGGCTTGTGCCGATTTTTGGATATTGCGAATCATTTAATTTAAGCTATAGGTATAATTCAAATGAAATAAATTAATAAAATTCAATATAATCTAGGTTTATATCGCGTACATTGAATCCCAGCCACATTCGGCAGAGTTCATGTTTGAAGCATATTTAATGCGTGTAAAATAGGATCCAAGCCCGGCGATCTGACATTTCATTGCAGGACGTTGAAAGGGATAAGTGTAGTTGGTTATTACGAATGTGACGGTATATGACAGTGCATTATCGCCCATAAACCCACATGAAGGATTTAACCCGACTCTTGACAGTGACAATATCACAGGCAATCCTTTGAATGTTCCTAAATCTGTGCTGTGAAGTAGATAGTGTAAATTTGGTCGAGTTTGTAACTCTGTAACTAGTATGATCTATTGGGTGATTTAGATGTAGTTTGCTTAACTGCGAGCGGTGAGCTCATTCGCGCTACCAATGATGCGATTGCGTATTCAGAATCGGCTTTCATACCGTTCGAATGTTTCAATCGTTATCAAATGACAGTTTCCAAATTCCAGCAAACATCTCTTCATCTTTCGTCTTAAATGGCGGCTTCATGAGAACGGTCTTTTATTGATATTGTTCAGAATTTAAAAGATATTGCCTCAAAACTATTGCAGGATTTTATAGAAATTCGAGTTGAATGAGTTTAAATCTTTGTTTGTTGTTTAATCGTAATTAGGAAGATGCCCACTGCAAAATCGAGGCAGAGTTGTACGATGTGATCGCTATGCCAAGAAAATCTTAATTTTAGTTATTAGCTATAATTTAAAATTAAAAATTTTTTACAACTGACTTCAATATATATTATTAATGATAACTCAAAAATTATTGGTCAGACCTTGATCAAATTTATATGGGACCAGATGAGAAGCACCAGCTTTCAAATTTAAAAATAATCAAATCCGAAATAGGTTTACGTAGAACAAAGTTATGAGATAACACACATAAAAAAACATACAGTGGAATTGTGTACCTCCTCCTGTTTGAAGTCGGTAGAAAATGTGCTTGATCCCTACACACTTTTGATTTTTGTATTTACTCTCAGAAAGAAATATTATAGTTTAATAATCATAATAGTACGTAGTAATATATAAATACCTCGTGAATATCAATCCCATGATTAAGCGACCACATTGTTTGAAAGTAGTCTTGCATACGTTGCTTTAGCTCCTTTGGTACTTGATTAAGCGAAAGGAAGTCCTTTAGATCGCGCCATTTGCTTTGATACAATGACCGTCTCGAATACATACGCTGTATTATAGCTGTTACATTTCCAAAAACTACAGCATGCATTAGCGCTTTAAAAACAAATTATTTAAAATTAAAAATTTTGTACAATCGACTTACTATTAGTCAAGAACGAAACTATTAGTCAGACCTCGATAAAAATGAACGACGAACCACCTTTCAAATAAAAAAAGAATCATCGAAATCGGTTCACCCAGTAAAAACTTATGAGGTAACACATATAAAAAAAACATACAGTCGAATTGAGTACCGGCTTCTTTTTGAAGTCGGTAGAAAAGTATTACATATCTTTAAAAAAAATGATTCTAAATAGTCAAGAAAAAAAACCTAATTTTTAAATAAATTTTATTACTAATAAAGGAGTTAATGATCAATTAAATATAGTGATTTTTTTTAAAATTCAATTACACAAACCTCCAATTAACATAGTCAGAATGCTAAATATCTTCTCTGGCAGAGTATTAGCCGATACATTGCCGAAACCCACGCTAGTTAATGAAGAGCATGTGAAGTAGAGTGCAGTGACGTAACTCTCGCTGTGAGATATGTTTGTGTGAGGAACTTTAAGCCTCTCTGCTAAATTGTTAATCCATCCTATGAGTAACATTCACAAATATAGTAAACAATTTAATAGGAATATTTAAAAACAATAGTCCAGTTCATGTTAACAGTTCTCTTAGTGAAGTTTCCAAATCGTAATATCAGTAAAAGAACATGCATAAATATAACAAATAATTTAAGGAAAATAGAAAGCGTACCTAAATCCCAACTATCATTTTTGTGGTGCTCAATCTCTTTCTCAGCTATAATAAACCAAATGCATGCTAGCCAATGTGCAACCAAAGTAAACGAGAGCATCAACAGGGTCAGAATTAGAGCTGAATATTGAGAGTATCGATCCATTTTCTGTAATAACCGTGCCAGCCGAAGTAGTCTTGTTAATTTTACTAAATGTACATTTCCGTGCGTCGATTCCTGTTTGAAAAGAGGGATCATGTTTTATTCCGTTTTTTGCGCGAAATCCATCAAATAACATTGAGGTTTAATCACGTACCGTGTAATGGCGGTGTAAGAATATCTACTAACCCCATATTATACTGTGGGTGTCGTAAGAGGCGACAGAGAAAAACAAATCAGGAGATGGGCAGGAGCATCTTTCTAATAACGACTAAAAATAAAAATAAACTGCGGTTACCAGCCCGCTTGCCAAGCGTGGCAAATATGGCAAATATCTCCCCTATGAGGCAATTTATGGGGGTGGTCTATGTTCAGCAGTGGAGTTTAATAGGCTGTAACAGTAACAACAACAGCTTAATCATTTATTCTATTATTCACTTATTTTTTTATTATTTACTAACGTTCAGTACACTGTATACACTAAAGTACTCTGTATACCATACAATTTGACAGTTCAGTGGCGCAGTGACTTTGCTGTGTTGCGGCGCTGTGGGCTGCAGGTTCGAATTCCGCACGAAACGAATATTTTTATGAGTATGATCTACAAATAACTATTCCGGGTTTGAATGAATGTATGTAATGTCTGATTGTTGTCATTATGAAATTTATGTTTGTAAACTGCCTCCATACACGGGAAAATCCTAGTGTGGAGGTAAGGTTTAAAAAAATTGTTCGGAATTGACGTTACTCATGTTATGATAGGATAATTTTATACGAACGTCTTTCCATGTGATTAAACTCAACCATTTAAATATTTCATTATTTATACAATACTTACGTCAAGGGATTGTTGTATTTAAGATCAATGTTTTTACCAAAATGCAATATAACACAAATAAAGGTACTATTATAATATTTCATGGATATTTTTAATCCAATCTTATAGTATAGGATTAGACCCGTACTTAATAATAAATTTACCGCTTATACAGGCTAAGCCCGACGTCACAATACTAAACCACTATTTACTACTAAAAAAAATTCTCTTCTACAAGGAGCATGTTTATACGGTACAGAGAATGATTGGGTCAATGTTGTATTAAGGGCACAAGAATCCCGTTTTCCAAATTGAAATATGAACGATTTATATTTTATTTTCCTAACTTGACCGAACGTAATTATCCTAATTTACATCTTTGCAACTTTTAACTTTTATCTGTACATATTTATGTAATTAAAAGCGATTTTGATAATTTTAAGGTGAAGTATAATAAAAGTTACTCAATATCTTTGTTATAACGCAATTGCATTATCGATTACTAATAAAAACTTACCGTTCCACTATAAACGTCGGAAGCGTAAAGTAGGTCAAACGGAAGCGCAGCCAGGAGATCCACCACAAACCAAGACCGGATGTAATTAAGGGCTATCGCTTTAGAATCTGATACGACCTCGCCTTTTTTACTTACAAATGTTGTCCGGAAGTTGAGCACTATGTCTAAAATGGATTAGAGGGCGGCAACAAGTCATTTAATAATTTACACATATGTTAAACAAAATTAAAGTAACATCTTAAAAACGCCACACCGCTAGGTACATTCCTTTTATTAACTCCCGACGCAAAAAGAGGGGTGTTATAAGTTTGACCGCTATGTGTGTGCGTGTGTCGGTCTGTCTGTGTCTGTCGGTCTGTCTGTGTCTGTCGGTGGCACCGTATATCTTAAACGGGTGAAGCGATTTGGGTGCGGTTGCTTTTATTTAAAAGCATGTTTTCTAGCTGTGGTTCTTAGAACCGTTTTATCAAAATCGGTTCAGCCGTTTGAAAATCATCAGCTCTTTTTGTTTCGGTGGTTTTTTAAATTTTAAATTTAGTTAAATTATTCAATTTAAGTTATTTCTAATAGGAGTTTTAGAGCAGGATAGGATTCGATGCACTATTTTAATGTGGATTGGACTTTATTTATATTGGACCCGGTTAATTTGCGATGTTTTTCCACCACTGAGCAGTTCGTCGTTGACAAAAAAATAGTCAATTTTTCAAAAAAATACAGTAGAGCAAGAAAACATTTATTATTTTCCGTTTACTAGCTTTTTCTCATCAGAAAATTAAATATATTAGACTTAATGGAACACTATAAGTAATATTATAATTGATGAAAAAAGTTAGTAATCGGGGAATAATAAATATTTTCTTGCTCTCCTGTAATTTTTTGAAAAATTGAGGTTCGCCCGTTTGCAGCGTTGGCGACGAGTTGTTTGGTGGGCGCAGGTGCGGTCTATAAACGATTCTTAGAATATGGAATAATTATGTATAATGTATATTATACTTGCACAAACAGTAAAACTCTACCGGCCATACATAAAATTAAAGATGTTAAAACTTAATTACATTAGATCCGCGTAATGAAATAAAATTATGTGTATGAACCTAGTTCAAAGAGAACCTCCCGCCTTCTCTCAATTGCGTGCACTATCCCCATTACCTCTAATCACAGCACCATTAGTCCCAACACCATTACACTAAGAAAGACGTACCAACGTCGATAATACGACACTTTACCTATTTTATTTTATTACGATGATTTCAGCTAATTTTATAATCCTTAATATAATGGATTTCCGCAAAGTAACTTTAACTAACTAATTACATATAAAAATCAATGTCAATTTAGACAATTAATTCAATGAGACAAATTGTTTGTCTCTCTTCAATAAATAATAATAGAAAAAGACAGGTATTTAGATAATTAATACTTAATTTAAGCAAGCGATAGTCAACGATTTTATGTAAGGCCGTACAAGTCTGTCTCCGAGAAAAATTTACTTCAATTTGAAAAGTTTAATTTTTTGGACACAAAAAGTATAGTCTATAGAAACAGATTTACGTCTTAAATTTATCTTAATATCTACCAGGAATCTGTTGGGATATATCCAATTAATTTACAAAAACAAAGAAATCATACCAATAATGAAGAGGGCTTCAACTACTACATCACTGGTGACACTGATCCTTGGATGTCCTTCGTGAACAAAACTGGCATTGTACGGAACTACGACAGCTACGTAGAATGTTGCTATGAGAATTAGCCAATCCCAGAAGGTCTTAAAAACGCCGTAATGCGAGATAATAAATCTCGACTTTTTTATCGCTGACGTTTTGTACTCCGGCAAAGGTGGGTCAGAGGAGTGAAGTAGATTCTAAAAGTGAAAAAAAATAATAATTAAAATATTTCTCTAAAGAAAATCTACAATAATAAAAAAATAAATCTACATTGTGTAATTTAACAATGACTCTAATGTCGTGTTGTGGCACATCATCCCATTTAGTCCCGTGGGTGGCGCAATGGTCGACTATGGAATGGAGAACAATGATTGGTTTTCAATAGATGGTGGTAACGCCAGTCGTAAAATGCCCAGATCTGGACGGGTAGCAGTGTCTAAGATAAGAGTCGTCTGATACTTTGGTCGTCAACCCTCTTGTCAAGAGTGACAATAAAGGCAAATCCTATCTACAGCCGGAGAAGCCCGTCTCCAGTAGTGGACTTTTACGAGCTGATGGAGAAAAAGAAAACTAAATATATAAAATAATTAATTCAATTACTTAAATCAATCGACAAAGTTATTAGTTAACGTTACAAATAGTTGTGTGGAAGACAGGAGAGTAATTAAAATCGAAGTGGACTACCCATCTTTTATCACGCAAAGTCAACTTTCAAATAATAAGCAAGAGAAGCATTTTTCTATGCAAGAAGCGACAATTAGCTTGATAATAATGAAATCACCAACAATGAGCTTTCCACAAAAAATTCTATTATATAGTGGACTTCTCAGGCTTGAAATTTTCAGGTCCGATATGTACGTTTCTAGCCATAATTATAGCTTTAGCATTAGCAGACAACTAAATTATCTAATAAATGAGAGATTGATTTTCAATAGAACTTTACCTCTACGCAGAAAATGTTATAATATCCAGAAAATAATGTTTTACCTTACTAACATTGTTAAGTTTAAGTTTTGTCTTCATCTTATCTGGTTTATAATGTCCTGAAAGCTGGTACAGTACGGCCCTTGAGCGTCGCCTGCCCATGTTGGCGGGCGAGGGTGCTTCAGGGTCAAGATTGCCATTAGGGTCTGGAAGTAGGCAACTAGATTCAGCTCGGAACCGGGCGCCCAAAAGTGCCGCTGCGGGTACAAATGGGGATAACGCTAGAGTGACCACGCCAGCTGAAGGCCGCACCGCGGCTCCTGCACGCACAAATCGCCCCGTTACTGTTTCACACTGATATCTCTATTTATTTGTCGTAACGCCTGAGTTCGTCCCTCTTTTAAATCCGTACAGGGTTTTCCTTACGTTTTTGTAGTTAAAATACGCTAAATAACGTATATAAAAAACTATAATATATAATAAACAATAAAGACCGCTATTTTAATCCAACAGGATTAAGTTAGTAATTTTTATGATTATTTTATACGGCAAATAAGTTATTTATTGTAAGCAACGTTTGTTTACATTAAACAATAACAAAAAATGTGAAAAATACCCTGTATTGATCACCAACGTAAAGATATAATGTAAGATATTTCAGTAAGAAAAGATAAATTAAGTACTTAAATAATTTTTAAAAAAATACTATCAATAGCGAGTAGTTTCAAAAGATTAAAATATAAAATCTCAGCTTGTAACAAAAATATGCAATTACAAATAAAGTAAAAGTAATAAGTACGCCATGCTTTTAATACAAAGATGATATAGAAACTACGAGGATCAAAGAAGGCTTCCTACACAATATCATGCTTTTAATCAAACATCCAAGGAATGGCATAGGAATAGAATTTTTAAGTATGGATAGATATAGTATAGTGTGCATATGTACGTAACGCAACTTAAAATTAAAAATCTCTGTTGAATTGTCAGTAAAAAAAATTTTAGAACTATTAAACAATTAACTAATTACTTAATTTGTATACTAAGTTCAACAAAAGGATTAAAGCAATTTTGCAAAATACAATTATAGAATACTATAGATCTCATACCAATTTTATGCATTCGCACTCTAATGGTATATAATATATTTAACACAATTATAGTACGTTCTATAATGAAGAGTCATTGTGAATAAACGTGCCTCTGATACTACTGTTATAATTTTATTATATTACTAAAGAATTAAAGTCGTTCACACCAAAGCATGTCGCGTGATTCAACTTGCAAAAACAAAATCCTAGAAGTCTTGCAAAGCCATTTCATAGTGATCGCATGTACTATTTTTTGTATATATTTAACAATTTTACTTCCGCAATATATGCTGCAACTTCCAGGTTCTCAGACTTTCCTGTCGTAACTTATACGTCTATTACGTACTGAGATGTGAGGCTGTGAGGAGGGTAGGAGACCTGTATATATCTATGGCAATTTAGATTATTAAATTAATCATGATTTTATTATAAATATTATGCGCATAAGAAACGCCTGCAAAAATTTTACTCTTTGACGCTCAAAGATATCATAAAGTTGTTGAAAAACTGGTGTGTTTATCAATTAATTGGCTACTACAAAAGCTACTCTATTTTCGCGATTCCATGTATTTTATAGGAGGACTAACTGATATTCTGAATGTTGTAGCTGTAGCTAAAATTTTTACATTATATCTTCTAGCTACTTGTAATATAGAGTAATTGCGAAGCGCAGGAGCGTTTGGCAAATTGACGCAACTATAAAATACAAAGTTTCAGCCAGATCGGTTCATTAACCTTTGATACGAGGGGGCGTTTTTAAGTTCGCGGAATGGTTATATAGGTAATAAGTAGGGACGACGCTGAATTACGTGCTAATTGAACAACTCATTATTAGTATAAATACGGGGTTTTATTGTAATTAGATCCTTAGTCTTTAAGTTATCGTCAACCAAACAAGTCAATCGGGAAGAAATTGTGAAATATGGGGAAAATCGAGTTCCGTGCCGTTATAAAGTTCCTTATCAAGCGCGGAAAATCAGTTCAGACTATACTGGAAGAGATGTCATCCGTTTATGGAGACTCTTGTCCAAGTAAAACTATGATTTACAAGTGGCATACCCCTTTTAAACAAGGCAGAGAGTCGCTTGAAGACGACCCATGGCCAGGAAGGCCGATCGAAGTGACCACTTCGGAAATTATTCAAAAAATTGAAAAGTTAATACTAGAAGATGCCCGCCTAAAGAAAAAATAGCTCGCAGAAATGGTTGGAGTATCAGATATAACCATTTTCAAAATTCTTCATGACCATCTTGGCATGACTAAAGTCAGCGCAAGATGGGTGCCTAGAATGCTCACGCCGCCTCAAAAGCAGCAGTGCGTGGAGTGTTCTCGTGCATTTTTGAACCTCTGTATGGAAGACAAAGATGGAGTGTTGGCTCGAATTGTTACTGTTGATGAAACTTTAGTTCACCATTATGAACCTAAGTCCAAACAGGACTCTATGCAGTGGCACAAAAAAGGCACACTACCACCATGTGGAAAATCATGGCGACAGTCTTTTGGGACTCAGAAAGAACCTATTGACTAATTATAAAGATAAAGGTATCTCTATAACCGGACATTACTACGCTTTAATCCTTGAACAATTGAAGGAAGCCATAAAGGAGAAAAGAATGGGAAAATTGACCAAACGTATCCTTCTTCTGCACGAGAAAGCGCCTGTTCACAAGTGCTATGTTGTGATGGCTACCCTGCATAAGGTGGGCTTCGAAATTTTGCCACACCCACCCTATAGTCATGACTTGGCCCCCAGTGATTATTATCTGTTTCTAAACTTAAAAAAAGAACTTCGTGGGAAAAAGTTTTTAAGTGATGAATAAGTGAAGGAAGCAGTTTCGGCGTATTTTTTAGACAAAGTCAAATAATTTTTTTTGAGGGTATACATAAGTTAATTGAAAGATCCGAAAAATGTATTAGGGTAGCAGGTGAATATATTGAAAAGAAAAAATAAATTTGGATTTTTATTCCCACTCCTTACCCCCCTTCCGCGAACTTAAAAACGCACCCTCGTATTTCACAGGATAAACAAGTCAATCAAGTAGTGGACACTAACTGTGGAGAAAATTTAGTTTCGTGCCGTGATTAAGTTCCTCACTAAGCAAGAAAAAACGTCACATATTATTATGGAAGAGATGTTCTCTGTTTACGGGGAATCTAGGCCTGGAAAAACGACTATTTATAAGTTGCACAGCCTTTTGAAGCAAGGCAGAGACTCAATTGAAGACGCTTAGCGTTCAGGCCGACCGATTGAGGTAACTTCCTCATACCTTGTCGAAAAAGTTAAATACTTTGTTTTGAAGATGCTTCTCTGAAGAAAAAACCGATCGCAGAAATGACTGGAGTAACTAAGACCAATAAATAATCTAAGAACATTTTAAACGTTCTCCATGGCCATCTTGTTATATCTAAGGTCAGTGCAAGCAGTACAAGATGGCTGGCAAGATGAATGCTCACATAAATATGAGATAGCAGTTGGTCGAGTGATCGCGAGTGTTTTTGGACCTGATTAGTAAGAACAGGGATGAAATTATGAACCAAATTGTGACTGAGGATAAAATTTGGGTTCATCACTATGAATTTGAGTCAAAACAGGAGTCCATGCAGTGGCAAAAAAGGTGCAACAGTTCAAGGTGTCACGATCAGCTTGAAAGACTATGGCTTCAGTTTTTTGCGACTCAGAGGGAATTTTAATTAATTTCGAATTATGCTCCTTTTGCACGACAACGCACCCGTTCACAAGTCATGTTGCGATAGCTTCCTTACACAAGTGCGGTTTCGAAACTTTAAATCGTCTTCTCTATAGTCTAGATTAGGTCCCTTTGGATTATTATTTTTCCCAAATATGAAAAAAGCTGGCCAAGTACGAGTTGGACTCGCGCATAAAGGGTTCCGTACCATTCTAAAACACGTTTCTAGTAAGGAAGCCCCCTTTAATTTTTAGTTTTTATTTTTATTATTTCTTGTTATAGCGGCAACAGAAATACATATTTTGTGAAAATTTCAACTCTCTATCTATTACGGATCACGAGATACAGCCTAATGACTGAAAAGCGGACGGACGGACGGACGAACGCACATCGGAGGCTTAGTAATAAGGTCCCGTTGGTTACCCTTTGGGTACGGAACCTAAAAAGAGCTACGGGGAAAGAAATTCACACATGACAAAGAATTAAAGCCTGCTAAAGTAAGCCGGCAATTTCTGCCTATTTTGAGGGCCTTGACAAAAACAAATTTAATGTATAAATAAGTTATTTGAACAGTCTGAGAAGTGTATTAGGGTTAATGGAGAATATATCAAAACGAAAAAAATATTTCATGTTTACCTTCACCTCCTTTCCCTTTCATTCCGCGAACTTTTTGACCTGCCCTCGTATGTAAGTTTTTTTATACAGATACAATCGTGGATAACGATAATTAACTTAATTTTATATAATTTAAAGATACAAACGGGACCAAGTTATAGTAAGTAGATATTGTGGCTCACAACCAACCACATCTACCCTTAATTGAGAATCAAAATGCAAATAGTTGACATTTTCACTAGTTACCAGTACTATTCTAATAAAGTAATAAGTAAAGTTTAATCGCTATTTTACAAATAAATTGAAAGAAAGGAAGAGATTATTTTAATGTGAGTGAATTATAGAAGTGAGTGGCAGAGTCAGTAAGGGTCGCACCAGACGGTAGGTTATCGGCCTAATTGGCGATTTAATGAAGATGGGCTGAATTAAGAGTACCCTTAACCGACGAGCGTGTATGCGAATATTTATAGTAATGGAAAGCCGTAATCCCTGCCTAGCTCTTTGAATGACAGACGTAAGAAACAGAAACAGAAACTTTTTATCAACATATATTTATTGAAATACTTATTGAAAGTCACTCTTTTGTTTAATTTACCACTGGTTCGGAAAAAACCTCAGTCCTGGAAAGAATTAGCAAAAACCCAGCGGCCCCTTTAAAAAAAAATAACTGCTTAAAATTAATATGTTACACAATTAACAACACAAAACAAATTAGAAATAGCTTGGTAACGATCACCTCATTCGCAGAGGTTATAATCATCCATAGAAGAGAGAAAGAGTTTATGTATGTATGTAGAAAAATGAGGTTGAAAATCTAGTAAGTGCCTGTATAAGAAGAAGAAGAAATTCTATTACGAATAATTTTTATTGCTTAAAGTGTTAATAAATTCTACTAAGCAAAAAGATACTATCCAAGCATATTGATAAATAAAAACATAAATTTCACCCTATTAAATATAATGTCTAGTAAATCTAACTCTACGTAGGTAATATAATTTCAATAAATATGACGTAGGAGTTTTACCGTGCGATGATGTTCAAGATTTGCTACAGCCAACCAGGATTTATGGGAGCTGAATCTAACACAATCAAATTTTGTAGAGCCTGTATTGACTAGAACAACGTGCTTATGCATGTTATTACAAAACAATACTTAATCACTATTAGTATCATACCCCGACACGATAGTGAAATTAAATACAATTAATTATTAATTTATGTTAGTCCGCGGTTTTCATTTAAGAATCGTAAGCATCGTTAAAATAAAGCACTTACCGCTGTCAAACTCCTCATTGGTGTTCATGGCGGCCATTTTTGTATTCGTGATATCCTTGAACGAAGCAAGGAATAAAACCACTTCGCGCTTTTCATTTTTAATTGGAACGATATCGAGCAAGCACCAGAAGGGAGAACCTGAAAATATGTCATCATGAATCGATGAAATGTGAAATTTATATCTAAGTTTAAGCACATAGAAATAAGTAGTTACATCTATATAAATATTATAAATTACGTTTAAGCTACAAATTCAAATATTGTTTTACTTGCGTATCATTTTTATAAATTAGTTCCGTAAAAAATCTAAAATATCCCGTATTGCTCGTAATTCAAAGAGTGTTTGTTCTCAAGACGTTTTCATATTCGGGTCTTTGTAGGTGAGTAAATACGATATTAAGAAAACAAACTGAATATGAGTGAGTGAACAAATACCCTTACAAAACTCTGCTACATGCGCTGTTCCATTTCGTTACGTTAACAAATATACTACTCGAAACAAAAAGGGCTATCATTAGCTAAGTGAAGCATTTATATATGAAGCTTACATGTTTAAGAGTCCTTAATAATATTTAGAATGATAAGTTAAATGGTATTTTCAAACGAGCAGCCAGAATAAGTGAAGTCGTGAGTCTGTTGTTAAGAATAATTTTTTTTTGCCTTTACATTTTATTTCGGCAAATTTCGGTATTAGTCCTAATTACCTAATTACTATGAGCAGTTGCTATGCTTCAGTAGATTGATATCAGAGATCGGATGCAATACATGTCGGTTTATCGCGAAGAGCTATCCGATATGTGAGGTAAACGCTATCAAGAGACGGAAGTACTGCTAAGAAATCTGGCTCAGGATGAATTACAGCCGAAAGTACCTAAGAAGACTGCACATCAGGTTAACTGCGTCGTGAGAGTATTATAACGGCCCAGCCCTTACAAGCTTGGCTACGACAAACTACTGGTAGACAAGTCAGTGATCAAACCATTCGTAATGAACTCCACGGAGATTGCCAAGGATCACGAATACGTAACAATATTTGGCTTAAGCTGACATAGATGCATCGTGAAGCGCACTAAGTTCACCCGCGAGCATTCGGACTTGACTGTAAAAAACTGGAGGTCTGAACTCTTTACAGACGGATCAAAGGTGATCTTTTTAGTGGTAACAGACGGGTATGCGTGTGAAGAAAAGAAGGCGAATATTTTTGATAACCATTTATCCACGAAACAGCCCAAATGTTACGGTATGGGGTGGAAGAAACTTTTTGGGTGAGATAGACTTGGTAATTCTGGCTGAAGGTTTTTCTGTTTTTATCTTTTAATAATATGAATATAATAATGGTGCGCATACAGCGTATTCCACGCAATGCACACTTTCTGAAATCAATATCGCGGTTTTGCCATGGTCAATATTTATGGTATTAATTGAAAAGAAGCTTTAAAGCGAACTACATAGCGTTATCAAAAGTTAACAAAAAGTCATAAACGCACTAAAAGTCTGTTGGGAGCAATTACCGGAACAAAACATTACACATTTCATTAAAAGTGTATCGGATAGACTCAGAGAGTAAATACGAAGCAGAGGGGGAGCTACTTGCCACCTCTTCTTACACCACTGCGAAGAAGTGGATATAATCACATTTTATTTTTCCCATAACATTAAAAAACTTTCCCTAGAAACTGTATTTTGTATGTATTTAAAATGAAAGTTGTCTTTTTTTAATAAAAAAGACGACTTTTCTTTTAAATACATATAAAAAAAGGTTACGATTACATAATTTCTAATACCCTGGTTCAAATATATTTTTTTACAATATCTTTATGTACTTATTGTGAAATTTCAACAATAAGAATTGGCCCTATTTTGTTTTGAGTAGTTTACTATGTTATTATTACGTTTAGAGTAACAAAGAAAATAATATAAGCATCGCAAATTGTTTTTAAAATTTGAAACTTCTAATTTTTGGAAAGCTCAAAACTTTAATGAAGTTCTCAAATAAAACCAAATTAAAAAAGTTGCTCAAGCTCATGTGAGACTTTTCATAAAGTCGCTTGCTTCATTTTATACTTGAGCGAAATAGTTATTGATCTTTATATTGGTGTACGGCTAAGAAAGAGTCTTTATTACAAAGAATAATCAACATCTTTAAATTTTTCCCAGAAAGTTATTGCCTGTTAAAATTATAGTAAATAAATAAATGAATTTGAATTTGAAAATTATTGCCCGCCCAAATAATGTACATAATGTGAATAGAATAGAATAATTTTTAGTTAATAAATATAATTATAAAATACTTATTGAAATTCTTTTTTTATTTACCACTGGTTCGTTTAATACCTCTGTCCTGGGAAAAAACAGCAAGAAACCCTACAAGGTTATTTTCAGACATATATAACTTTACAGTCATTTTGTACAATTTTTAAATGAATTACAATAGAACCAGCATGGTAGCGATCACCTCAGTCCAGGGGTTATTTTGATTTACGTATTTCTTAATATTATAGTAATCTTTTTTGTTAATAATGATGGAGTTTTTGTTGAAATAAATATATAAAAATAACTGAAAAACAGTTGCTAAAATGCGTTCTATGATTGTGTATATGAAGTTATGAAGAGTCGATACTGGCATCAAGCATCAACCCTTAACTACTCGCGAAAATTAAAATTACGTGTGGTACGTTACGTTACGTTAGATAAATTGTATTTTAGTCAGTTAATATTACCATTCTTTTTGTAGAATATCAGTTCGAGTTTAAGTTCATGTTTAGAATCCAGAGCGGCGTCGATCTCATGACGGTGCTCTTCACATGTGTCGGGCCCGTGCAGGAATTTGCACGCGCAACCTTTTTGCATGATGTGCGCGCGCGCCCAACCAGTCAGCTCACAAAAACCGTCCGAGCAGTACACGATCGGATATGACGGCACTTGCGCATTGCCGAGCACAAAATTACTATCTGTGAGCAAAAATTACCAATTAATAGTTACATATTAGATTTAAAAAAAATACTGAATATACTTTTAAATCCTTTCTTATTTATTATTTTAGATTATACCTTAAAGCCTTTCTTAGATAACATATGGTTCTTTTCCAAGGTTCTTCTTTCTTATACTTAAGATGTTATTTTAACACCTAAATTGCTATTTTTATTTTAATAAGGCTAAATTTATTACGAATTATTTATAATTAAACGTAGGCTAATAAATAAAGATATATTATGACTATAAGTATGATTATATATTATATATATTCTTATATAATTTTGTACTTTACCCTCACACAAATATGAGTTAGTGCTTATCAGTAGAACGTATATATAGGATAAGCTATAACTACATACTTTATAATAGCTGGTACCCTATTCTGTATTCAGCGCGATGAGTTTGTTTTAAATATATTAGTAACTCGAAACAGTGTCACCATTCAGTTCCAAATTTTGTTTTCTATTTTGGCATTAAACTAACATAATGTTACTAGCTTGGGGTTCGAGGCAATTAAAAACTGCCGAGTGAATTACCATAATTGACACTTTAATTACAGAACACTAATAACAACTTAAAACCACACTAATAACAAAACACAATTGTAATACTGATCACTTTAGTTCCCAGTTATATCGCTTCGAAGTATTTGCTTGTATCGCCAACTTAACATGGACTCCGGTCGCGGTCTATACCGGCCTATTATAGGGCCTCGGATAGTACCAGAAACTTCTACTGTAGAAACATCTAGAATGTTCGAGTACATACCGGTCCCGATTGACTAGGTGTCGATAGTTCCAGAATCTTCTACTGTAGAAACATCTAGAATGTTCGAGTACATACTGGTCCCGATTGACTAGGTGTCGATAGTTCTACAAAGTTCTTCCATGGAAATTTCTAGGAGGATCTATACTCTCCTAGTTCTGTTACTCGATACTAGAAGGCGCTAGTGGTAACTAGTCTCTCTATGTACCAGTCGTTGATGGTGGCGCTCAACACTGCCCCCTCCTAAGACATGCTCGTCCCGAGAATTATCGAGCCCATAATAACGCGCCAGTCGATCCACATAGACGATCTTAGGAGTACCTCTTGCACCTTTTTGTATCCGGTAAGTTACGTCATTGATCCTTGTGACAACCCGGTACGGTCCACCCCATTTAGCTTAAAGCTTAGGGGATTTCCCTTTGCTGCGAACTAGATTGTGCAACCACACTAGTGAACCTTCGTCGAACCCTTTGTTGTTTATTTTGCGGTCATACCGGGTTTTCATCTTTCACACATTTGCTGGCCCGATTGTCTAACGTGCTCATAAATGTCATTCATTTTGTTCCGCAAGTCATTTGCATAATTGGTTATACTGCGTGGGGAATCAGGTGGTATTCCGGTTATCAGGTCTGCAGGCAGCCATTTGCAAAAGCTGTTGTCACTGATGTACTTTAGTGAACAGCGCCTCGATATGACACCAAAAACGATTGTCTGTGCTTGACCCAGTCTTGTTGCCAATTTTCCACAACTTTTGCTAGGTACCTCTCCAATGTCTGATCAAATCGTTCTACCATTCTATAAGATTGTGGGTGGTAAGAAGTTATTCTTTTTTTATGAGTACCCATAACTCGGCAAGTTTCACTTGCGTCTGTGTCAACTATAAATTCCTTGCCTGCATCAGGGTACCCCAAAATAGGTGTTTTGCACAGACGGTCCTTGAGCTCCTGGAATGCGATATCGCAACTTTCATCCCAGCAGAAATGTCGCTTACAATAATGGCGCGCATACAGCGCGTTGCACACAATCCTTGCTACTCTTTGCGAGCGCCTGGAATTCGATATCGCAACTTTCATCCCAGCAGAAATGTCGCTTCTCTTCGGTTAGCTTGTGCAAAGTTTGGCTATAACTGCAAAGTTCTTCACAAATCGCCGATAATAGGAGTACAAACCCAAGAATGCTCTAAGCTGCGTCTTGTCTTTTGAAACCGTTTAATCCGTGACAGCGCCAATTTTCTCTGGATCCGTGCGGATACCTTCTTCCGACACTACATACTCCAAAAAGCTAACTTGCCGTTTGAATAGTGAACATTTCTTCGGAGTCAACTTGAGGTTGACACTCTGGATCTTCATGAGCACGCGTTCCAGGTTTTGAAGGTGTTCCTCAAACGTACGGCCTACGATGATGATGTCATCCAAGTAGACCAGACAGGCATCGCGAATCAGTCCGGTTCCATCAACCTTTCAAACGTTGCTGGAGGATTGCACAATCCAAACGGCGTAACTTTAAATTGCCACAGGCCCTTTCCTGTCGAGAATGCAGTTTTGTCCTTGTCCTTACGGTCAATTTCAACTGCCAGTAGCCACTTTTCAGGTCCAGGGTGCTAAACCAATTTACTCCTGTAAGCATGTCCAGCGTATCATCAATTCTTGGCAAGGGATAGCTGTCCTTCTTCGTAACGTCGTTCAGACGGCGGAGTCAACACGAAATCGCATATTACAGTCCTTCTTCTTTACCGGCACCACAGGTGAACACCATGGATTAGATTAAGGTTCAATAACACCATCTTTCACCATTCCCTCAATCATGGTTTCCACTTCCTTTTCACGTGCTACCGGCAATCTTCATGGCCGCTGACGGATAGGAAATTCTTCTTCTGTGTTATATGTTGTGTTGAACTGAGCCAGTCTTTCCTATGTCAGCATCGTTTGACGAGAAAATATCGGCGTACTTGAGTAACAACTTCTTTGCCTTGCCCATTTAATTCAGAAAGAGAACGCTGCGACAGTCTTCTAAAAGTGTGGTTACTCTCATTTGTGCATCCTTGCTGAGAGTCCCAGTCGATAGATATTGGCACTGACGCAACTAATCCACTTCCTCACAAGTAATAACCAGTGTGCCTTTTTCTATAATCTGTTCCTGATCACAAAGGTTCAGCACACGTACTCCTGAAATGTCGGTGGTTCTGACCAAGGGTCGAGCCACTTTCCATGGAAGGTCATTGTCTACCCTTTCCGCGAGTACACAACGATGAACTTGCCCAGCATTCCGAGGAAAACTAACCGGCACAATCGTTTTCGATCTCGGCGGAAGAACAATCTTCTTAAGGCTGTACACATTCGCTGGTAATGCCCTTTCCACAAAGTTCCTCTTGTCAAAACACCTTGCTTAATGTCGATCTCACAACAATTCTTCCTCATAAAGTCTAGGCCCAGGATGCAGTCGTCCATTATATCAAGCACGATGACATTATTCAGGTAGATCATGTTGCCTACCTTCAACTCCATCTCCTTATCTCCACTTCGGTTCTCGGTTGTATGCGGAGTTCCCAAGGAAATGACTTATTAATTGGGAACTGACAAGCGTGCGAAAGGCTCCATTGTCTATGTTCAGTTTACACGACGTTTCGTTGACCTCGCCCCTGGTGATTAGGCTGTTCCCATCATGGGTTTGTGAGATCGAAATCCTTGGGGCTCTTTTAACATCAGCCAGCACCCGCCCCACAGTCCTGGCTTTACTCGTTTCCCTGCTGCTGCTGGGTGGTACTGTTAGCCGCACTACCCTATCGAGATCGATCACCACCCCTTTCTACAGTTTGCTTAGGGCAGCTGGATCGAAGATGGCCCTTTTCCCCACAACCGTAGCACCTAGGGCTGTATTCTTTATTGCGGTCGTGGACTGTAGCTGCTGCAACCTCCCTGACACAATGGGAACGATGATCTTGCCGCACGGCGTCCACCTCCAGTGCATGGGCCAAGGCGTCCTTAAGCGTCTCGTGGTGCCAGAGCCTCACAGCAGCTCTGACTTCAAGGTTGCGGATGCCATCGTATCTCTGCACCTGCATCTGCATCTACGTCTGCACCAGGTTCCCTTCAATGAGCGCAGGTACAGACTGGTATGCTTTTCGAACCAGCTTCTCCATCTCAAGGGCCCACTGCTGCAGGTTTTCGTTGCTCCGTTGCACGCGATCTTTGAGCTGCGCACGAAAGACGTGTTCCAAGTAAGCGTCGCCATATCTCGCCTCCAATACCTCAAGAAGCTGCTCGTCCCTTCCTTACCGAGAGCTTCCAGAACAATTAAGGCCTGGTCCCGCAGGCCTAGGGTGAGAGCAGTCATGGCCTGATTTTTATTCCAGCCATTCGCCTTCATGATAGACTCGAACTAGATTTTGTAAACCGACCAGGAAGAATTCCCGTCGAACGGCACTTTGAATCCACGTAGCGACGGTAATGGAATGTAATTCCATTCCCAAGTTTGAAGCCGTCCAACGTTTTCTTCACGTCAGCCATCACGTTGTCAACCCGATTGTTCACTTGGTCGATTCGGGTTTTAGCTTCCGACAGGCGGTTGTCATTTCGAGCCACCCTATCCGTCACCTCCCTTATCTCTTTCCCAAAAGTAGGCTGAAGGTCTTTCACGAGGATCATCTGCTCTTCCTTATTGCGTTTGAGCTGCACTTCCAAACGACGGACATGTTCCTCCTGTCTGCGGGCCTGTTCCTCTTGTTGGCGAGCCTGTTCCTCCTGTCGGCGAGTCTGCTCCTGCAGCATCATCATCAGAGCACCTAAGTCATGTGCTGCAGATGCAGGAGCTCCCGATGGGCCAGCCTCCGTGGTCAGTAGCTGGCCCTCCGACGTCCGCGGCCTTGCATTACCAAATCGTCTCTGGTCCATCTTCTGCTGGCGTTGACTTCGGGTACGGATACCTTCCGTGTCGTCCTTTGGTAAAATCCCACTTGATCCCACTTCTGACACCAATTGTTACGAGCTTGGTGTTCGAGTTAATTAAAAACTGCCGAGTGAATTACCAAAATTTACACACTAATTACAGAACACCATTTACAACTTAAAACCACATTAATAACAAAACACAATTGTACTATTAATCACTTTAGTTCGCAGTTGTATCGCTTCGAAGTATTTGCTTGTATCGCTAACTCATCACTGATTCCGGTCGCGGTCTATAATGGCCTTATATAGGGCCTCAGATATTTCCAGAGTCTTCTACTGTAGAAGCATCTAGAATTTTCGAGCACATACCGGTCCCGATTGACTAGGTGTCGATAGTTCTAGAAAGTTTTTCCTTGGAAATTTCTAGAAGGATCTTTACTCTCCTAGTTCTGCTACTCGATACTAGAAGGCGCTAGTGGTAAATAGTGTCGCCATGTACCAGTCATTAATGGTGGCGCGCAACAATGATGTAATAATAATATCTTTCCAACCGAAATTCGGTCACAGCGGACAATCTCAACGGAGCGCAGACGCACAGGGCAAGATTATAGTGCAATAAGTATGTATGCAAGCACAAGTGCACTCTCTATTCCTTTACTCTCCCGGTCCGATAATCCGACACAACCGAAGAGAGATCAGGTGCAGGTCCAACGACTCTAGGTGCTTTCCGAGCAGCGGAGATGGAATACTGCCAACTTCCTGACTCTGGGCTGTCTGTTGCTGTACATTGTCAACTCTCGTTGTAGTAACGGTTTGCCTTAGTCGTCACGCTTGGCAGGCAAATTGACGATAGCAGTATCAGTGGTTTTGAAAAATTGACGATGTAGCTATTCAATTAATAACTATTCAATCAATCTCTATCTCTAAATATAAAAATCAATTGCTGTACCCGTTTTTCTCGCAAACACTCGAAAATGGCTAGACCGATTGTGATGACATTTTTGTGTTGATTTGAGTGGCTGGGTGGATGATCTAAACGATTTACAATTGGACCCGGTAGGTGGCGCTAATGTCGAGATCTAGAAATCACCCGTGCGAAGCCGGGGCGGATCGCTAGTAACTTGATAGTTACCAATTTGCTTGTGCATAGCCCATGTACCCAGCTGCAAACTCGTTTCGCCTATTACTGAGTTTGCATAGGATTATCTTCTTTTTAAAACTTAAGTTTCAAAATGACCTGTTTTATTTTATTTACTTTATGAAATTTATAGAGAAATTCATAAAAAACTTATTTAAAAATATTACAATCCCACCTATGATATTAATGTAGAAATTTAGAGAGTGATTCTCAGCCATGGTGGTTACGAAAATATTTCATCATCATCATAGTTTTTACAGCCTTCCTCAAGGAACGCCACAAATCACGGTACTGAGCGACATGCATCCATCGACTTCCTGTATCTCTTACTAGATGGCACTCCATCTATTGGGGGCCACTCTACACTTTGTTTACCGGTACGAGGAGAATATAGGGTAATGATTAATTAACATAAATATTTACAAGATGTCAAAGTAAAAAATCTGCCGCTAACTAAACAAAACTTGTATTAACCAAGAGAATAACACCGCGTAGTTAATTTAGTTGGTTACTTTCAGCTGTCGTAAATACATGAACAGTCTGCTTGTTGTTACGAATAGCCAATTCGTAGCAACTAACGCCGGTAGCGCCAAAACCACCTAGTAAGTTGCAAATAGCTTCGTTAGCGCGGACTGGCGCCTTATCTATTCAATAGGCAATAGCTAAAGCAGATGGCTATCGTAACCGTGAGTTTTTTTATAAAATTGAATTGTCATACGAATTTTCAGACCACTTGATGGCATCTGGCATCTACAGCCTATGGAAACCTGCAATTAACTTCAAAGAAAGAAACCGTTACTAATTACGGGTACCAAGATGGAAAGACTGACAAACTGTAAATATAGTGGATCTGTTCAAGAAGTTCTGCTTGGCAGCACAAAACTATAAGATTTAATTAACCAAAAGGTATTCTAGGTTCAAAAGGAGTCCTATAATTTATTATCTATATAATCGCTATTTAGCTTGTTATTAAAATAGCTACTCATCTTCAGTAGCACTTCATTGTTAAGTATGGGCCTTTTCTATCGTAGAAACAATTTGTCGTAATCGCTCTTTTGTAGGCGGATGGGTAATCGTAATATATTAGAGATCACGAACTTTTGAGGCTGTTTCCCGCCATAGGTCTATGTATTTCACATCGGGAATATGTATGATATGATATACCGTCATCTATGGAGATCATTAGGCCTTACTTGCATCTTAAATAATTGCCTCTACCGTCTCTATGGGACATTGTCTTATGACAAATACTCTAAATCACATTGGGTGTGGTGTCAAAGTTACACCACACAACACATAGTAAATTCTATCAACGTAAAAAAGTAACTATAAATTACATGAATATATTCACGTGCGAGCCGAAAGTAAACTAAAAGATTATTTAATTTTCCGGTGTTTCTATAAATAAAATTCTCTTACACTAAATCAAGTTGCTATAAATTTAGGAGAATTTTTATTTCAGTACATTTATTGTTTTCTCCTTGGTTGAATAACGATTGTTATTTACGTCGCTCACAGCTGATTTTAGGTTATTTAACATTTATGAGTGCAATTGTTTGTCGTGGGCGTTATTACGTCAAAATGTTTTAATTGTACGTTTTGTAACAAAATTTATCGTTTTATTTATCCTGTTATGTTGTTGACTCTTTGAATATTTTTTAATTCTGTTTGCTATTTTGTGTACTAAGTTTTTTTTTATAGGATACGGGTGACAACCGAGCACACAGTCCACCTGATGGTAAGTGGTTGCTGTGGCCCCTAGACACCTACATCTGTCCTCGTTTGCGAATTAAAATGCAGATGCGTTGTCAGCCTTGAGGACTAAGATGGAATGCCTATTTTCCAGTAAAAAGGGTCTCCGGTTCCATACACTCACCATACGAAACACAGCAGCGTTAAGCTGCTATTTTACGCTGGTATTCTGTGAGAGTGTGGTCCTTACCCGGTCGAACCGACTCATTCGTGCTACAACTATTTAATATAGCTGCAGTTTGGCTCTACCACTTTTCTTATCATTTTCTTGTATATTTGATGCGTGTTTATTGTTTGTGGATTATAGATAATTTTATTGCGGTCATGTCTGCAACATGTTGCACATTTGCGATTCTGTAGCTAATTTTAGTAACGTGATTCGGTCAATGCACTGGAAATAAACATTAGGATAAATATAACAAAATAGCTAATTTTAAAATATTACAATGGCGAGACGCTAAGCCTGGATTTGTATTTAAAGAAGTCTTAAACTATTATTAATTTAAGTGTGATATTGAACAATATGTTGTATGAATACTACTCCACATACAAAATGTTATTAGATGCTATTTTAACAAACAAATTGAAAGATGCATTTGAACCGAAAATATAATATTATGCCGATTGTCGTTTACTAGTATGAATAACGTCGACAACTTTTGTTTTGAACGAGTTCATTTCATTTATTTCTAAGATGTGCATACATTAAAAATAAAACATGTTACAAAAACTCTGTGGTGGTACTCCCATTCGATAGAGTGGTATAAAAGTGCATCACAGGGGAATACACAGCTTCGGTAAGATAATGTACAATATTTTATGAGTCATAATCAACATCACATGAAAAATCATCCTGACCCGAAACAATTATTTAAAGGTTATAGGTTTGTACAAAAACCTCTTAAAGCAATTATAAAAATTTAAGATAATCGGGAGAGCCGTTTCGTTTGTGAATAAAATATCAATGCAGCGGTAATTGCTGAATAAATAAAAACATTGCCGGTCTTAATAATTTATTGATTTACACAGGCCGTATATATTACCGGCAACTGAAACTTCTGTTGCAATTAAATTTAATGAGTAGGAAAACTTACGGGTGCCATCGAAGCGTGTAGCGATGGTATCAAGGAACGTGTTCTGGGGCGCGAGTAGCCCCTTCCGAACCGGCATCACCCCACGCAGCGCACTCCGCGCTTGCTACCTTCACCTGCGGTTAAAAATAACATAGTTTTAGAACGCTATATATTATAATATGCTTATACTAGCTTCTGCGCGCAACTTCGTACGCGGATTCCCCGTGGTATTACCGGTAAGGTTTGTCGGAAATCACTACAAAATAAAACCGTGATACCGCCCATTGGTCGGTCATTTTGTCTTATATCCCTTAAAGTTCCGTCTACCGCTTCTACTCCTTTTCGGTGGGCCATCGCACATTCATCCCATATGATTAAATTACACTCACGTAATACCTTAGCTTTGTCGCTAGTTCTTGAAATACTACAGGTTGGACTTTCCGTGCGATCTAAATCAATTGGTATTTTAAACACAGTGTGAGCAGTTTTACCTCCTGGTAGCAATGTTGCAGATATACCTGATGAAGCCACGGCAAGAGCAATTTTACGCTGATTTCGAACATAAGCTAATATTAATTTAGTCAAAAAGGTTTGCCCAGTTCCTCCAGGTACTTCTAAAAACCATATTGTTCCCAAATTATTCTGAACACTCTCGCACACGCGATCATAGACTGAACGTTGTTCTGCAGTCATCATTGGGACACCGTTTTCTAATGTTGCTAGCAGTTCCATTGAGTTGTAACCAATCTCTGCAGAATATTCCCTATTGGTAACCTCTCCGACTGAGGTTGGTGTTGGCAAACCATATTCACAGAGTGATTTACCGCCTACTGCTGTTAACTCTTCCTGAAGAGCTAATAAGCACACATTTATGGCAAGATCACGGAAGTTATCATTAGTTGCACCTTCATCATTGTTAGATATATTCCGAAGAAAGTCTTCTGCAAATTTTTCTTTATATTTTTCCCATAATTGTACAGCATCTGACAAATTACAAAATGTGAGTAATGTTACAAATAAATGGCGTAATTATCGCGTGGATTATCACTAACACAGGATTCTGCTAAAGCGTCATTCCAATGCTGATCATTTTCAAGCAAACGACGCGCTTGGCAAGCTGCATGATAAGTTGGATAAACAACATCGTCTACTTTTCTCAAATCTATAAACGATGTTGGTTCTCGCACTGTATGTAATAATAATCGCAAATAGAAATACTCAGCGTTGTTAGGATGAATGGTATACACTCTACCAAGAACATGTTCTTTGAAAATACCTGACTCGCCATCTACAGGCCTGCCACGGCGTTTACGATTAAAGACACCTCGTTGCTTATCGTAGGTATAATACGATGGAACTTCCTCATACAAAAGAGATTTTGCAAAATCATCAGTTTGGCAAAGTCGAAAGAATGCTAATAAAGTTGTTTGTCTAGGGTTCTCTAATCGTTCTGTAACATTTTCGGCGTTGAAATATATACGTTAACCGCCTTCAAGGTGAACATCCAGATGAGTCACAGGTGGATATCTTTCGTGAATGTTGAAACTTAAGATCGCCACACAGCTTCTGAAGAGCTATACCTACATAGATATACCTGCCTGACTGAAATCTAGTAACTTCATCATGTTCATTTCTCAACGCAAATGTAGCTTGGTCACTGCCCTTGTTAATATACTTACAAATTTATTTTATTGACTCTACACTATTACACATTTCAACATTTATGTGAGCTTGAAATGCTCTAGAAATCACAGGCGAATACGGAACGACCCACCGATTATATAAAGTAACCTGTTATCCAGACACTCGCTTTTCAACAGTAAAACCACCATTGTCTCTTGAACGTAGACGATATAATGGGTATCCATCATGTCCTGTTACAGTTTCATCCACTAATGCTTTTGGATATCTTTTAGTGCAACGACCGTCTTGCATGCAAGGAGCATACCCGTTAAATGCACCACATGGACCATGTATCATATGAGTTTTAACAATGTCGTATAACACGGTATCTGCAATCGGATCTGGAATTTCAGCACTGATTGAACTGTCTACATCATTAGGTCCAACCTTATCTTTTAACCAAAGCAGGATATGTGCGTGAGGTAAGCCGCGTTTTTGCCACTCAACACTATACATATAACACAATACATCTCCAAAAATGTTATCTTTGGTAAGTAGATCTATCATTGATTTTAATTTTAAATGAAAAATTCTTGCGATAATATTATGACGGTCATGCGGTGCTTGACCCTCAATAAGCTCCCGAGTGATTTCATCCCACTTGGGATTGGTAGTTACAGTAATAAATAAGTTGGGACGTCCATATTTTCTTACGTAATAAAAAGCATCTTGAGTACGTTCGTGCAAGTAGCGTGGACCACCAGTAAAAGAAGAGGGTAAAATAACTAAACGGCCCATATTCACCGTATCATTATCTTGCTGCATGGCGTCGCGAAGGTGCACGTATTCTTCAGCGCGCAGCTGCCTTTGATTAGATCGTATATAAACTAATCTTTCGGTTTCAATTTTTGCGTACATATCAACAATAAACTGATTGAATAAGCCACGAAAACGTTGAAAGTATACAAATCTATTTCGTCTCACTTGCAAGTGGTAACAATAAAATTGAAGGCATGACTTCTTTTTATTATAATTAGGTGCGCCTGTACGCGGATCAGTTTGGTATAAAGCGAAATTATAACCACCTTCCCCTCGAGAGTATATCAAAGGATATTGCAAACTGTCGTAAGCCCTGTGGGTTTCGTAAATACGTTGCAAACGATTGTCTCTGGAACGGATAACGAAATCACGCCTACCACATTCCTGGTCGACCAGCAACTTCATTCGTGGATGGAACGTTATAACGCCCAGGGTGTTTCTGAGTTGGACGCCTATCGGCATTTATAACAATTTTATAATTGTTATCACCATCTTGAGGAAGAGCTTCTAATGCCGATTTAAAACTGCATACATACGAATTAACCTGATGCAACATGTTCTGAAGTTGTGAAATAAGTTCAGTATTTAAATTCGGAAAATATTGATTTCTTATATTCGACTGTTCGTTGTAGTCGGATACAAAATATATTTGAAGAAACTTAGGTTGGTCTTCAGGCAAAAGGGATCCTATCAAATGGTAAACCTGACCTTGTATCTTAAAAGTAGGCATGAAAGTACCTTCTGAGATTTGTTGAGCACCAAAGGATGTCATTTGAAACGCACTATTATAAGAGCGAATATTGTCTAAGAACTGTTTAGATTGCACATGTTCCCCTAAATGTAGTGACTTCAAAGGTTCCGGTGGATCTTCGAACGAAGGCAAATTTATTTTACCTCCAGTAACCTGCCCAGGAGTATGAAGAATGATTGTACCAAGTTTCGTTAAAATCCGTCGAGTAGTTTTTGTTTCTATAACGAACATACAGACAGACAGACAAACAGAGAGACAAAAAATTTACTGTTTGCATTTTTGGCATCAGTATCGATCACTAATCACCCCCTAGATAGTTATTTTGGAAATATATTTCATGTACAGAATTGACCTCTCTACAGATTTATTATAAGTATAGATATAGATTATTAAGCGATGAAAGCTCTGTATTTAGAAATATTTTTAGACAAAATAGCACTATAGACCCTTATGATAAAAGTAATACCCTTAAGTTTGATTCCACTGTACTCACATTGAGATATTTTGGTACTTTTAGCACCTAACTCAGAGAGATGACTATACATTGGTTGTAGAATCTATCGATCTATTGAGTTCACGCGGGGTGTAGTCACGGATACAGTTTAGAAAATAATCTCTCCGTGGCTGCACTTAGCCGCTCGTATTAGGATCTTTGCTATCCTTATTTCCCCATTTACCCATTAAATATAGCCATTCAACTGGAAAACGTACTCTACATTCTTGACACTATCCCGCAAGGAATAAAGCTAAGTAGATGATGTGAATGATTAGATTTTTATTATAATACTTATTATTAGAACACAATATTATATATTTCTAATATAAAAATGAATCGCTGAATGTGTTGCTAAGCGCAAATCTCTAGAGCAGCTGAACCGATTTCGCTAAATCTTTTTTTATAATATTCCTTGAAGTACGAAGATGGTTCTAACGGAGAGAAAAATTAAAAAAAATTGCCTGAGAAAGTCTAAAAACAACACTTTTCTATATTCCTATACAAAAGATTCGTAATAATACTTAAAAGTCAATTTGAACTTTAATACCATAACATAAAGTTTAAGTGTTAGTGGAGGGGTTCCGGGAAGGCAAAACAATTGAGTGAAAAAAAAAATTTAATAAAAAATAATATATAAGATATTTTATCGTATATTTGTCAATATTTATACTATGGAAACTTAATTTAGAATAAGTAAAAATGAAATGAAATGTAAAAAGTAGGTATAATAATAAGAAATCAGAAATTGTAATTTTCATTGTGATTTTTAGTGACTATTAAAAGAATTTTAAGTGTTTTATAATTTTTAATTTTTTGACATAATGTAATTGTTGACTTATCAACTTCCTTTTTTCTTTTTTATCTTACTAGCTGACCCGGTGTCGCGAATAGCAGAATAAGTATTAAAAAAAATAAGAATCGGCTGTTAGGCGGTACGAAGTTCGCCGGGTCAGCTAGTTGAATATAGATTACGTGCAATTCTTATTGAAAGTCAGTTTTTTACTTTACCACTGATTCGGAAAAACACCTCTGTCGTTTGAAGAACCACCAAGAAACCTAGCGGGACCTCTTTTTCAAAAGTAAATTATACATTATGAAAGGTTGTAAAAATTATTTACAACAATTTATTTTAGAAACAGCTTGGAAACGACCACCTCATTCCCAGGGGTTATTATCAACCATGTATTTATTTATATTATAATAACCCTTTTTATACAGTTTTTATTTGATAAAATATTTGGTAATAGAGAGACCTTGTATATTTTCTGGGACTTTGTTGTAATAACATTGCCCCAAGAAATGCCTTGTCACCCTTGAGGACTAAGATAGAATGCCTCCTTTCCAGTAAAAATAATCTCCGGTTCTCTACACTCACCATACAAAACAAAGCAGCGTTAAGCTGATATTT